TTCAGACATCAAATTTAATTCACGTGAATAGAACAGCTCTTGCCGAAAACAAGACACAAAAATCAAGAAATGGTTTACCAAACTTTTAAATGTTTTCTAATGTATTTATGATTTGTGAATATTGAGTTCAGCACGGAAGTAGCACAACTTGGTTTCAAACGTCGCACTACTGCCATGCTATACTCAAATTTAATTCCATCAATTTAGTTCGGCACGGCAGTAGCATGACGTTTGAAACGGGCCTAAGATATTACATTAGGTGAATTCCTTACCACCAGAAATAACACCATGACAATATCCACCAGACAAAAATGAAGGCTCACTTGGAAAAACGTTTTTACTTAGGATGGAGGTTGAATCTAAAACAGTAAAAGTGCAAAATATTACAAGTTCTGGCAAAAAATAAGTAGGGAAATACAACTGATGCAATATAAAGCAAAGGCTGTAAAACACTTACATTGTTATTCCAGGGCCACAGCAAATTTAAAGGACGCGTATGTTATTTAAGACCTTATAATGTAATCATGTGTTTAATATTTTATAGGCCTCCTTCGTGGTGAAGTCTACAGAGGTAAGCGATGCAAAATATTTAAAATTGTGTGCAACGAGAGTCATGTCTGATAGTCCTGGGCTTGTGGATTTTGCAATCAGGCTAGTGAATTCTGTTCTAAACTTGCTAGACAGGCAATTGAAGTTTTTGGGGGAATTCAAGTAACATAGTACTGAAAAAAAATTGTTTGATTTCTTACTAATAGTAAATTTGTGTACATCAAAACCCGGTCCTGTAACCAACAATGGTTCTTCTTGATACTTCTTCAAATACTTTTTTAAGATGCTATAATAATTTATTATAATTTGTATCAAATAAATATCCAATCAGTGCTTTATCAAGTTTTGACTAAGTTTCCTAATGTAGCAGGTAACCATAGCAACAGTATAGCGTGCTTAACCTTAAGTTTAGATTAAAGTGCAAGGAACCCCAAAACGAGTTCCATGTTTAGTGACTTCCATGATTTATTATAAACTGCAGTTGCCAATCTAAAAATAACTTTGGGGCGGGTTAAGATACATCTTAATTTTTGAAATGTCAACTTGCTTTCAAGAATAAATGTAGACAAGATGATGGTACTGCTCAAAAATGAGTAAAATAATCATTACCAATGAATTAAACAGAGGTGTGATTTTGTTCTAGGAGAGGTCCCGTCTGGGAACGACATTCATCAGTATTCCATTGCCCACTGCATCAGCTGTAGACTTAGTTGTATCATCTCCTCGTAGTTCTAAGAGTCCATTCCATTCAGGATCTGTGCATGTACTTCACTTGACAAAGCAATGGAAAGGTTAATTGCAGGCAGATTGGCAAGCAGCCTTTACTCTGTCACTTCCAACAGTGCCGCAAATTAGGTTTCAAGAAAAATAATTCATATTTTATTTAGTATAAATAAAGAAAACAAAAAATGAATATAACCTTGTGAAAATGCTGCTGAAAAGTGCTGCTCGGTAGCTTTCATTTGAAGTTCATAAAAAAATGTCATTGAGGGTATTAATTTTTTTGTGGGAGTTTGTTTTCATAGTTCAGAGACATGGTTATTTTTGGTAAACTACAATAAAATATTAAAATTTGATGTTATATAACAAAATTAATTATGTGCATACCTCACAATATTCACAGTCAAAATATTAAAGCATTAGATAATTATTATTTTTTATGCAACGATTTTCCGTTTTTGTAAACTGTGATGAAACTATCATTATTTTGATAACTAATATTTTCTGTTATTCAGTTTATAATTTCATATTTTCTAAATCTACCTGACAAGGACCATTTGTATACATGATAAGAGCTCAATCAAATTTTTTCCAGTTCAGCTTTTTTTTAACAGTTGATAGTCAGACAATTTTTCTATTAGACTATTAGTAGATGGTGCTTCGAAAAAAATTAATGCCATCATTATCGCAGAACACCATCTGATAATTGTCTTATCTCACTGCGAGTGTCTGCCGGCAAATAGTACCATCCATCTTGAATAAAAAGGTTAATAAAAGGTCAAAGGTTTGGTCATAGTGGAAATTAATGCACGTAGTTTATCCAGCTAGTTTACAGGTACTCTACTCAAAAAATTCTGAAACAAATGATACAAATAGAGCATATCAAGATTAAATACCCCAACTGGCAGGAGGCTGCACCAGTTGGATATTTACAAGCGTGACTGTAACCTGAGATCAGGCTCAATTTTTGTTTTGCTTTGTAAATAACATTCCCCTGGCAAGGTGAAACGAACTTTTAGCAGTATCCATTAGAGAGAATGTATGAGAACAGCTAAAATTGGGCCTATCTCAGGTTAACGTGGCTGAGGATTTGAACTTGGGATGACCAAGAACAAATCCAGCAAGTGGCCAGAGTGGGACTTGAACACAGGACCACCGGATTGCAAGTCTGACATGCTGACCACTTGGCCATGCTGACTTCTTTATAAAAATAATACCCCACTTCAGAAACTCTAGAGAGAATGGGTACAAGCTTTGGGTACAATGCTCTCTGGGATCGTTATTGGTGGACAGAAGTTAGTGGTGATTGGTCAAGGCGTATAAATTTAAAGGCAAGTAGCACTAATGTCCAACAAAACAATCCCAGAACTTGAACAAGCAAAAGTGAGGCCCTCCTAGCAGGGTGGCAAATTATGTAAGCATGGCATGTGCGAAAAACACTACTCAGGAACATGTCACCCTTCAAATGTCGCATTCTGCACGCGCTCCTTTAATATCCCTGAGGAAAATTGTGGATGGTACTCATCAGTCTACTATTGAGGGAAATGTTAATTTGTCTTTTAGACGACTTTTTAATGATAAGGGTGCATCCAAAAGCTGCAAATAATTTGACTTTTTAGAAAGGGCATACTATGGTATGAGCAGGTCATCATGTTTGTTGGACAAACCAGTCACGCGTACATGTGCATTACACTGAGTTTTACTACACCATTAGCGAGGCTAATCCCGCTATTGATATGAAAAATGAGCTTTGTTATTCTCATTCAAACAACTCATTCTCATCAGATAGGTTTTTTCCACTTCACCTTGTTTTGAAAGTGTGAGAGTTTTTGGAACTCAAAAGGGCCTATTTCTTCACTTTGCACCATGTAACTCAGTGTTAAAAAGACAGTTTTGGTGGGTTATTTTTCCAATCATGTCTGGCCTCGCAAAGGAGTTCAAATTTAGTCAGACATTTTCCTGACTGACTATTCTAGCCTGAGTGTCAGGCGTTTCTGGGGAAAAGGGGAAAGATGGAAGCCTTGATACTCGGGCTAGACTATTCACTATGCCTGATTCACAGAACTATTAGCTACTACTTCCCCTTGTCAAGGGGACAAGTACAGACAATCCATAATTCTTCTTTAAGTCATATTTTAATATTACATTTCATAATAGTTTAGTCTTACTTCAAAGTAAGTGTAATATGGCACACTGCTAAAAAATATTTTGAATGTGTGATAGAATACTAAACTTACTTGTTAATAATAATAATTTAACAGCAATATACAGCTCCATAAAATAATGTACAATATAAAACTTATACTTACATAGAGCTATTATTTTCCTTATAAAATCTCTCATTAATTTTACCACTTATTCGCCAACCGATGAACAATCATAAAACTGTTGTATGATTTTAATCTATTATTTGTAATGAAATGCAACTCCTTCTAATCCTTGTCAACTCAATTGAAGATACTTTTTTGGGGAATGGGAAACTCTCCCAACCTTTGCTACATCTCTCAGTGCATGCAACATGGACGATAAATGTGGTTGTCTGCATTTTACGTTACTACAACCTGCAAGAGTCCTTTCATACCTGTTCAAAACACTAAGAGATGTAAGAAGTACTTTACTTAACTCGTTTTGTTGATCCATACTACAAGTCTCAGAATATTCCTTTTGGATTCAAGGCCTGTGTGCTTTGCACTCTGGCCATAGGAAAATAACTTGCATATAATTATTCATAGTTGAACAGACCACAAACACGTTTATTAAGAGACAAAAAATTGTAATATTGTAATTAGTGAGATAAAGTAAATCAGGAACCTATGTTGAAAGATGCCTTTCATAATTTAAGAATCAACATTAACAAAAATTTAACTGCCACAAAAATACAGCAAACACACCTCAAGCCCTGTGGGCCTCATTAACAACCAACAAAGTAAATTTTTAGATTCAAAGCTATCAGTACCTTATGAGTAAGATACCCTAGGGAACACTTGACATCTCCCTTTTTCCCTTAAGAATGAAGAATTTCTTGCATAATGTTTCCTCTTTTAATGTTAAGTTTATTTATTTTGGCATGGTTCCAAAGGACACTTTAGTCAGCTTTGTCAAACTGTGAACTGAGTAAAGCAAAGAAGCATAATAACATTGAATTTTCATCATCTTGCTAAATGAAGAGTAATTGTTAAAGAATATAAATATCACAGTCACGCCAGCTCAAGTGCATCCCATAAACCCAACTACTGAACTGAATATTTGAAAATTGAATCTGTTGGTTGTTACTGTTACAAGATTCTTTCTGGCATTCCCGCATGGGTAGTGAGAAGTAAATTCACATGAGAGATATTATTTCAACCAGCAAGCTCAATTTTCTTCTTAAATTTAATATAAATGTCTTCAGACAAACTTTATTCACTCAGACATCTGAATAGAAAGATTTTTCAAACTGACCAAATACATAAAATAGTCCCAACTTAACAGTTTATTGTGCATGCCAGAATGAAGATTTGAGTTCAATGGTAGTACAGGCAATGACAAAAGGATTCAATTTTCCAATATTCAAATAACATTATTGACTGTTGCATTGACTATGGTTGGTTATCACTAAGCTTTTCACTGTATGAGCCATTTAAGCAGACAGTGATACACCACAACACGGAGTGAAAGAGTTAATATAATTATTACGGAACAAAACTTTTGCAGTTGACAGCTATGTAAATCACAAACAAAGCCCTGTAAAATCAGTTTACTATTCCTCTCGAGACCACAGCATTATCCATAGTAATTGCGGTAACTCCTACTAAGTTCTCCTGGACTCCGGCTATGCTGACACTTGACGTAGGAAGGTGGTGGGGTGAATTCACAAGACTACCTTCTCCACCATTTTGTACCATGGTTGGAAGTGGGGAACTCTGTAGAGATGGACTGCCTTGCTGGATATTAGTGTACATGGGAGACAGATTACTGACCGGGACTGTTTCAACTTGTGATGACACAGCTGACGCCATCATCGTCGGGTGGGATGTAACAACTGAGGAACTTTCAGATGCAGACGCTGTACTGATCTGACTTGCTGACGGGGGTATTGTTACAACCACCATTGTGGTTGGTGTGCCTGTTTGTGGTTGTTGTTGAATAGCAACAGTTCCTGGGATGACTGTGGTCCCTTGTACATTTGGTATTGTTATAGTCGTGGGTAAAGCCACGCCTGGTGGTACAGCAACAGTCGCACCAGGTGGCACTGTCTGCATTTGAACAGCTCCACCTTGCATTACCGCCTGTACAGTCACAGGAGCTGGAGCTATGGGAACAGTTGCTAACTGACTGGGGACTAAATTTTCTGGCCAGAAACGCTGAGCTGGGCGACTTTGGATCTTTGACTTTTTAGCTTTAGGTCCTTCGGGATTACTGGCATCCAACATGGGTTGAAGAATACGACGTCTTGCATTAATGAACCTATTTACACAATAATACAGAAAATTTTTCATAAAAAAGGCAACAAAGTGACACTCAAAAGGAACAAGAAAATTTATTTTTTAAAATTAAACCTTAACAATCACACTAATTTTATTGAGTGGGGGAGCGAGAGGAGAAAGAGGTGCTTTGTACTCTTAGTTCTTTTCCTAGTTGTCCAAGGCTTAATCTGATCTGAACCTTACTGTGAAGTACCAGTATTGCTCAAAATCAATTTTCTCCTAACAATATCCACAGACTATCATGAGCAAAGTCTATGAGAATTAACAAAATGATCACAAAGAGAAAAATATTTGATCTTTTACCAAATTCTCTCAACTACTTCTTCAAGGAAATGTATGGAGATCAGTTTGGAGAATTTGTATGTGGATATTGGGACTTAAAGGGTTAACAAAAAGCATAACGGTCAAAAGACAACAACAACAATAATAATATTATTATTTTGGATAAGAGTGCAAAATCACAACAGCATGCAGAAGCAGATTATTATAATAACTGGCTTTATTAGCACTCACTTACAACTCACCAGTTATTGACTTGAAGAATGGTAAGATTAGTTTGAGCTGCAATACTTCGTTTTTCATCTTCCGTGGGGTATGGATGCTGGCAAAGAAAAAGAATTAATGAGTGTGTAAAACAACTGTCTTTTTGGGCATAAAAAAGCTAACCCCTGCTTTCAACCAGGCTATTTATTTCCATCAGGAAAGAAGGATTTCCATCAGGGAATAAAAAAACAAAACAAAAAACCAAACAAAACAAACAAACAAAAAAACAGGAAAGCCAGGGGATAAGCTCCCAAAGTAGCACAGGATGTTAAAAGCCATACAAACTGTTGGGCATTAATTGAGGGACTGTTGGAAGAGGAAATACTCCAGTTTTTAACCCCCAAAACAAGCTCAAATGACTGAAAACACTACTACATGTATTATAGAGTGTTGAATCAACTTTTTAGTTTAACCTATGTTGACAGTTTGCATACATTTTGGATCATACAAGAAACTTTCAAAGGGTTATTCATGGAGAAACAAGGCCCTTGAACACGCATCAACGTCTTCAATTACGAGGCCTTAATGTTATTTGTTTCACATGCAAGAGTTCCAGAAACAAATTCAGATAACTTTAATAAATATATATTTGTCCCCAATGATTTTCTTGTTTACCCCTAATATTCATCAGACAGGCACAGATCTAGGATAAATAATGACCAATTTTCGAAATGAGTGAGAAAGGCCAAAGCTTCTAAGGGGGTCTGGGGGCATGCTCCCCAGGGAAAACTTTTTGGATTTTTCCTCTCCCTTTCCTGGGTTTCTGAGTCATTTACACAGGATAATAATAATAATTATTATTATTGGCTGGCTCCATTCTCCTCCATTCTCCTCACACTGCAAATTGGTGGATTATTTCATCTCTCAGTTTCAACTAGAACAGCTTTTTTGTATTAAAAATGTATTATATTAAATACAAAAAATCTGACCAATTTCTGTAAAATGGTGGAAACTGGTGTGGATCCGCACCTGTCAGAGGGGGACAAAAAATTTAATGCTCAAAACAGTCAAGCCCTCAACACATATAAAATGTTCAGAAGCACTGACCCACAAACATACACAACCTACGTGATTTATTATCATCCACTTACCACAAGATGTTGAAAAAGCCAAGTCTTCATAATGTTTGTTGCTTGTTTAGGTAAGACACCCCTTCTTGTTTTTTTCTTATCCGTAACCTCTGTGGGTGAGTCAAGGGCAGGAAGTGGAACACTTGATGGAACAGTTATTTCTGTTGGAGATTCATCTCCTGAGGAATGCGTCTGGGGCCGAGAAGGTGTCACAGTCTCAATAGTTGGCGTGCTCACGTACGTCACAGTGGGCGGCACTGAGCTGTATGTTACTGTCGTAGGTACTGTGGTATAAGTTACACTAGTGGGTACTGCTGCTTGCTGAGTAAGCTGTTGTGGGACTTGTGCTATGACAATCTGTTGACCAGGGGCTACTCCCTGGGGAACATATGCCACTGTTGTGACTTGCTGTTGCAATGGAGTGCCAATGACACTTACAGTCGGGGTTGCGCTGGCGACAGTGCAAGGCGTAACAGCTGCAGGTGCTGTGTAATAAGCAACTTGCTGCTGGGGAATAAATGTTGGCTGGGGTGCTTGAATTGGGGTTGTCGGTGTCTGTGGTTGCACATTTGCATTCAAGACATTCACCGCAGGGGAGTAAGTTGTTTGAAGAGGACTGCGAAGTAAATTTTCACTCTGCATTTTCCCTTTCAGGCAAGCAATGTAACGTTGGCAGAAATCTTTGCAGAGTTCATTGACTTTTTCAAGCTCAAGCAGATGAATTCTGAGAACCTGGATTGCTTTGATCATCTGTTGGTACAAAAGCAGCTATGCTCAGAACAAACGCTGTACTTAAACTGTATAAAAAATTGATAACAAATTTGGAATAAATTGTTTCTTCCATAAAATGGGAATCACGGTTGATGGAACTTCGCTGAAATTCCATAAGATATTGTATTCTAAGAAAATATTAAGGCCAAGTCTGAACACAGTTTTCATGATTATTTATCATACAAGAAAAAAAAAAAAGGACGGATCTACAATAAATGCCTTCCAAAACATATTTGCATATTATGTAAATATTAGACATTATTTTGCTTTGTTATTATCGCAATCCTGTTAAGGAAGACTACAGTCAGTTCTTAATTTAAGACCCTTGACTAAGTATTAATATTAATTTTACGAAAATTCGCAAGAGTAAAGTAATTAAAAGTATCAACACTATAAACGAGGAAATGGCCAACGGAAATGTCGCATATTTCACGCGAGGCACAAGTAGCTGTAAGTAGGCAGGAAAACGGAAATCTTCTGATGATCCGCAAAAGAATCTGATCTTCCTCTTAAAAATGGATAATAATTTTGCACTTTTACTTGTAAACAAAGCCTTGAAAACCATTACTTACTAACTAAGCTTTTGTATCAGCAAGTTAATATAACGTGACCAGAGAAAATATCCTGGTTTTTATCGAATGTTTTATTCTTGCTCCTGTAATGTGGGATTTCCTTTCGGCCGCCATATTTTAAAAGAAGCTTAACATAATCGGGATTAAAATTTGTCCGAAAGAAACGCAATACAGAAAGACCTTTTCATGGTACCTGCAGAATAATAAACGCGGCGTCTGTGTCTTTATTTGAGGGATGCCCTCCGTTTTGAAATCCGCCACGGGTACCATTGAAAACAATTAATAACGACGAAAAGATCGCGATGAAGGAAGACGACACGAGTATCAGTCGATCGCAAAAAACAAGGGCTTTATTCCAGTTAGCTGATTGTGAAATATGTATCTTTTAATAAGTTTAATCCACGAGGGTATCACGTTAAAGACTAAGAAATGCTTTAGCTGAGGTGGCACGAAATTTCTGTGTTATTGAAGATACACAGCTTAACTTGATAAACAAGGGATGAAGAGTTTTCAAGATGCTATACTAAAGCCTGGAAACGGTTTTGACTTGAATACAAAGAATAAAAAAACTATGCTCACCAAATTATCGAGATCCCTATCCTCCGTGTAGAAGGACTTTCCCTCTCGATTCATCTGCAGAATGCCATTCTTTATTTCGTTGTCGAAAGCGTTAGCTGGAGTCAATTCGCACGTTTGAGTTGACTGCTCGCATTTCTCGAACAGTTTAGCCAGTAAAGGCAAGAGCGGATGGCGATATATAGCTTGTTTTTCCGCTTCCATGTTCGTAATCTGTTGTATATCGACCGCTTGAACCGCTAACTGGGCTTCTTCGTAAGTTGGAGGCATCCTCTCTTGTTGTGTCTGTTGTAAAGATATAGCTGCATACTGTCCGGGACCAGTAATGTTTTGCTGCGGAGTTGGAAGCATGTGAGTTTGCGTTCGATTCGCGAGCCCTTCCATTCGGCCGCTTCTACGAAGAGAGAAACAACAAGGTTATTCGAAGCAGACATTGTCAACGCTCACCCCTCCAGGAAGACCAAATGAAATGATAATCGGACCAGTGTTAATGTGTTTGTATGGGAGGTTGAAAGACTTACAATTGGTCACTATTAAAAAGAAATGCACGAGGCGATGGAACAGCGACGGTGTCACTCACTCGTCAACGTCAAAAAACCCTTTTGGCGCGGCCTTGCTTCGACTGATTGACAGCGCCAACCGACGAAATTTTACATAATTATGCATTGTGTTCATGCTAATTTATACCTGCTGCTCACTAGGGAATAATTGATGTATGCATAATTAATATTGTTAAGATCAGCTGCACAAAGGACACTTGGTTATTTATTGTCGCGCTAGTATTTTAAAAATAATTTCATAGAAAGAGACTAGGAAAAAAGTTTTTTTGTGTCTTATAGAGTTTTTCTCTAGCAGGAAAGTCACGCCTGGTAAAGACAGGATCTTATGGGTAACAGGCTCCTAGTAAAGATGCATTCCACAGAAATCTAGAATTTCTACAAGCGGCTATAAAAAGTGGGAGGTACTCCCAAGTGTTTTGACAACAAAGGTTTCGAAACGGGTGGCTTCAGTACAGTCTGTGGTTTGCATAGTGGGCGTATATTTCGTGTACAATTAATATTGTAGGCAGTTTAAGGCATTCGTCATTTTATAACGAACTTCGTATTTACTTGCCTAACCCGCCCGCTTGTACCGGAAGAAACGAAAAGAAACAAAACTTTGCCATGTACCCTGGGCCTGTTGGTCAACAAACTTTGTTTGCTAATTACATAATTATATCGACCAAAGGAGTTTTTTAAAACTCAAGGCACGGATAGATAAAACAAGTTTGTCAGAAAGAGGGACCGTGACTTCCACACCAGAATTCAAGTTTTGTAAAAAAATTTTCAACAAATTCCCAATTTGCAGCTATGGCAGAGGAGGAAGAATTTTTGCTTCAGCATACAGCGGCTTAGGCTTTTCAAGAAGCGCCTGCAGGGAATAACTTAATTTTAAAAAAAATTCGAAATCTCTAGGGCCCAGCCGGTGAAATGACGTCTTGAGTTGTTAAACATGTTGTTGAAAGGGGCTTTTTGAAGTTGACATTTCCATTTTACCGTGATGAATAATAATTCAGCGGTGAATTAAGTCTGCAACTCAGAATAAAGTTCTTTTCGGCTGGAAACTTAAGTGAGCCTAAAGGCTAGACAAAACCACTAGTTAAAACATGAAGGGGGAGCGGGGAGGGGGTGCACGATGTTTCTTTGTCTAAAATCAAAGGCCACCGAACTTTATATCCGGCGAATTAGCAGTGATATTTAAAAGAACTGTTTTCTTGACAAGAGATAAATCAAAACCGCTTCAGAATAAAAGACACATTTGTCATCATTGATTGATTATCAAGTGTCGTCCGTCTATTACGTTATTAGTGCTGCTTTCAATATTCAAATGCATACCGTATTTGCCATTGCTATGTAATATTTGTTCTCCAACCGATCAAAGGTCGGGATCAGATATAAGGGCAATAAAAATTCTATATGTGTGAAAGACAATAACAGAAACTGAACAGAATCGAAGATGAACTGAAACATTCGAAACTAGAAAAAGAATTAAAAGCAATTTTTCCAGGACCGTGATTTTGATTTCCCTCTCTTTATCGCTTTCCGGTCATTTTACTCTCCCCTTCTGGTCCTTATCGCTATTAATTTCAACAGACAAGGCAAATATTTTTCCTTTTCATTTTACCTTTCTTCAAATAAAATAATCAGATTTACTAGTTAACTGTGTTGCCGATCATTGTCTATCGGGTAACATTGGAGCCCGGGGGACTACTCCCGGGAATTATTGGTGGGGGTGTGCCGCCTGGTTCTCTAAATCCTGACCGTGTTTCAGACTAAAAAAACCTGTCATTTTCCACACCCGTTTTCAGACCTGGGGCCCGTGTCTCGACAGGCCCGATAACTTTTCGGGTCCGAAGGTAAAATTTAAAATCAAAACCAATTGAATAGTAGCACAGTTCCTAGCTCACAAACCGGTCAATTTTGCTTTGTTAACTGATAATTTCATTGTATCATTTTCAAAATTATTGAAACTTTGATCTAGAGTGAAACACGGCAAACAAAAAACGGTTTTAGGGCCCGAAACGTTATCGGGACTTTCGAGAAACAGGTCCCTGACCTCTAAAATCCATACCTGTTTTCAGACCTAGCCTTTAGGCAGAAATTAAGTCCTAGTTACTCAGATTAGAGCGCAAACAAAAAATGTCTCAAAAAGCATTTCCAATTCGCATATTTCTATTTCTTTCTTATTTATTTGGAATTGAAGCGATAAGTACGTTCATACACTGCCGTAGTTCTCCCGAAAACCATACCCGATTCCAGACCAAAATGGACAAAGTGTATACTCGTTTACAGACCGGAAAAGCCCATACCCATACCCTTTGGGGCGGAACATACCTATATGGCTTATATAAGGGAGTATACCCCCCCCCCCGCCACCGGGGCCTTGGGAGTCACTTTGAAGTCACAGAGAACGTCGCTAACCCATCCCACTAAGACCACGCGACCAGAGTGGGAAATATAAAAAACTGCTGCTTGGGACTTGCGGTCTGGGACTCGCGGATCAAGCGGAAAGTTCACAATAATTTATTTACCGGTTCTTTTTTTATTCTTATATTTGCCACAGCTGTCGGAATGAAGTAATTTAGTTGTTCCCTACCCTGACCCCTTCTCAGACGTCTGACAATCAGGCTAGTTAGGTCCCGGGATTTTTAGCATAATTCAGGCCTTCTCCAAGGGAATCACATATTAAAAGGAAACTAAAAAACGCATTATTTTCCCGAAACTGCGTTATCAGAAGTAAGTCCTCAGTTCCAGCTAAAATGAATAATTTATTCGTTACTTAAAGAAAACGCGTGACTATGCAAACAAAATATCTGAGTTGTTTTTCGTGACGTCTCTATATATGTATCAAGCCTATGCATTTCAGGAAAAAATAACTTGTAAGTAAAGCTTCTGATTTGTAAACATGAGTCACACAGAAGGTCATTGTTTGCCATCCCTTGTTACAGCTTATTTCGGTTTTGGCAAAGTTTGTATTTTCTGCCATCCAAATGGCTTTCCAAGTACGCCAGACTCATTTTCTGTTAACAGCTTTGTTGTTCCTCTCGTTTGATGTGATCACAAAATCCCAAGCAACAAAGCCCTCCAAACACGGCGAAGTTCACCGCGCGAAAAGTGAGATCGACTCGTTGATTTACAAGTTGACTTTAGATTTGAAATCTTTTAACGAAAAGGAAACTAAGGCCGAGGCTGTGCAGAAAGATGCCTCGAAACTGGCTCGGGTCGCAGAAGAGGAAATCGCCCTGTTGAGGCCAGTTCAACGTCTCTTGGAAAAGCTTGCAAAGGGGAACTCCTCGAATGGAAAAGAACGCTGTATGGCCTGGCCAGGCGGTAAAATACGGATACAAATTAAAGCTGCATCCCCTCTGCCCAAACACTTCACTATAAGTGTACCAGGTAAGAGGCCATATTTATCCAGTTAAGTAAGATCATTTAGCGTTCCTAATTTTTTCAGGCAAAAATCGGAACAAATAAATTTCCAGCTACTAAAATATATTACGGAAACAAATGAAATTTAATGACAACAAATATGGAACTATTAAGTAGGAAACGTATCAAGGAAAAAATAACATAAGAGAAAAAATGGTTCAGAAGGGTAATGGGCTGCTTAATTACTAAAAAACAATGCGCACACACAAACTGGCAAAATTGTTAAAATCTCGTAAGACGTTTTTGGTAACCGATGAATCTTCCACTGGTTTTCAGCGTAACTAGAAATACCTACATGTAAAAATTTTAGAACAACTCAGGTACAGGCATGAATGTTCTATGTTTTGTGAAATTAGGTATAACAAATTTGAAACTTACACTGTAAATTGGAAAGATCTGCTTCGGGCCCAACTTCCAGTCAAACCCTGTAAGCCCCAAGTCTGAATAATTCTTTTGTTCAGCGATTTGAGTACACTTTGTGCCAACACAGCCCTATAAAAGATCTATTCCAGCCCTTGAAACTTACAGCCGGTGGGTCTAAATTAGCCCAAACTAGGCCGGGGGGCTAAAACGATGTTTTTAGTTTGCAGTATATTAGTTCTGGTGTTTACGCCATTACAAATCATACTATTAACAATTCTCATTCTTGAATAGCACTTCTTATCCTGTTTTAAATTGGAATTATTTGCCATTCTTTCCTCGCAGTCAAGATCAGACTCTCAATTTCCGTCCTTACACCTGAACAAAAATGTAATAGTTTTGAGCACATTCTGACATTTCTATCCACAGTTAATCACCGAGAGCTGCTAGACAACGGACGATTGACACGTGAAGATGGCGAAGACTTGCAGGTCTATTACCATATCAACGGACAGCAACCGTTCCAAATTGACCGTGTCATCAGTGGCCTGGGAACAAAATCAGCAACTGTCCACTTTCGACTGCAGACTCCGATATCATCCAACACTGCTGATGACGTGTCTTATTTTTTAGTCCTCGGTGCTTCGGTCAGCGGCAGTGCCATGGATGATCCTGCCAAAGTGTACGCATTTTTCGACGATTTTTCGAGCGCAACTTTAAAGAAAGAATGGGGGAAAAACTGGGGGAAATGGAGCGTGCAAAACGGGAGGTTACTGGGAAGCACAATGCAGAGTAAAGATTTAACCAAAGATAATATTGAGGTCGGACTGTATCTCAAATCAGGTTTTCAGTGGAAAGATGTTATGGTAGAGCTTGACTTCATGGAGACTGGAAAGAGTAACACCGCTTCTGGACCATTCCTGCGCCTCAGAGATGTGAGCCTCAGCAAAACCACAGGGTGGTGGTTTCAGTACTACCCAGGTCATTCTGATTCTTCCTACATGAGACCTTTGGCAGCTAATAAAGATGGTGGCTGGTTAATCAAAGGAAAACTACCCACAACCTACAAATTGAACAAATGGTTCCACTTCAAGTATCGAGTGCTTGGAGACAGGTTTTCACAATGGGCGAATGGCAAACTTGTACACGACAACATCAAAGTTAGCTCCAAGTGGATGATACCAGCAGGAACATTTGGACTGGGATGTCATCACTCCCCACTCAACTGCAAAACCTTTTATGACAACATTAAAGTGACTTTAGTGGTTTCTACTCCCCCCAACATCACTTTGGGATCTTTCCAGTCATTCGTTCCTGAGAAAAGTGCTCTGCTAGGCGAGAAAAAGCTTCCTGCGGACTCATGCAAACAGATCCATGATGCAAGTCTCGCGAGCAACAAACCGCGTGCTAAGAATGGCGTTTACTGGATCAAGACGGACCTCCAAGGCAGCTCGTCTGTGCAGACTTACTGCGACATGCAAAACGGTGGCTGGACCCTTGTCGGCAAAATCAGCGGAAATGTGGCCAACATTTACAGTAAATGGTTGGTGTCTAACCACAACACTGCATTGCTGAAGACTCCAAAGATCGCCTCGCAGACATGGTTTGCCTGCATTGACGCACGCAGCTTAGCAGTAGATCAATCGTCCACGATCCTGTTGTCCAGCAGTGAGAGGATGGATGGGTTGGGGAGCAAGTGGGTCATGTGGAGGTTGCCTGGTGACAGGAAAAAAGACTCGTTTTGGCGCCATTCGGTTGGACCATCAACTGTAAAGGCAGCTGTACAAACACCCGTCATGGTGTACGCTTGGAATGGAAACAAAAAGGTAAAAACATAGATGATAAGAACTGGCCTTTCCTTTGTCGAAAATATGCTGCACAAGGAGGTCCAAGGGGACTGGAAAGAGCGCTCCCCACCCCTTCCCTAAAAGTCTGAATTCGCCACTGACCTGTGTCCTTTAAGCCCAAGTTGTGGGGTGGATAGCGTTATCCACTGGAGAAATTTCTATCGCAATTGTTTCCCCTATACTTTATCATTTAACAATTTATTGAATGAGGCTGAGTATGATAAAAAAATTGGCCTGTTTCTCGGCACGGTTTCAGGATTTTTTCTTCTTGCAGATACTCATTAAAAAGTAGATAAAATCCAGCAACCTCGTTTCCAGGCAAATATACCATAAATCAACCTCGTTACCAAGCAAATATACCATCGCATCGATGATATATTAGTCGCATCTTCCAAATTTGATCAACGACGGCTGATTATGAAAAATCAGCCGGGGGAAATAAGCCAATCAGAGACGGCGAAATATTTTGAATGAATAATAAAATGATTTATCAAGTGAATAGCAGTATCCAGCGCTAAAGAGGAGATCTAAAGGGGGGGGGGGGGGGGGGGTGTGCGTTTTTAAACCATGGTGAGAAACAGGTGAATGGGGGGAAGAGGCAGTTTGAAATTTTAAAAATTATTTTTTATTCAAAACAAAAAACACAAAAAAAAACAACCTTGGTTTACAGTTCAACAGATAACACGACAGATTAAAAAAATACCTACAACAAGCATAAAAACAAGGCGAGCGCTCGATCAAAGAAACAGATGTGCAGATGCTGTAGAAATAGAAAATAATCGTAAGGAAAAAAAAAGAGCAGAGAGTAAAATAAATGTAAGTATAAATAAAAAATTGTGTGTAAAAATGGATCAGGCGTAAGCAAAAAAGAGGGTCATAAGAGGTGGGGGGGGGGGGGGGGGGGTTGTCACTTTTAAACTCGGTGGCGAAATACTTGACTTGAGAGAAGAGTCAGCTTTGCAATTTACAATATACTAGTTTATCACAAACAATCAGTCAACTCAAAACAGCTTCCTGTGATAGCTGTCAATTGACAACATGGATGTTCACAAAGATGCCCAAAAGTCAATATACCAAGGCCGAGCTCCCCCTGTACCGACTAAACTGTCAGTTTTTATCTCCTAGATCTGTTACCAAAACAAGTTCGGGATAATGCCTTATGCGCATCATGGAGGTTCGTATCCTTACGCCTCTTATGACACTGCAGGCAACACCGCAACAAACGACTACTGTATGTCTGTTGGAATCATGACTAAAGGATCCACTGCGCATGGCTGGTCCCAGAACGCCAATGGTTACGATAGTCCAAGAAGCGATTCTGATTGGCCGAACGGGTCAGTCAACCACCAGGCTCCAACCCTGACAGTCTGGCTCAAGTAACCATGGTTATATCACAAGGGTTGCTTTGCATTGCGAGTAAACAAAAGAGTAACAACTGGTGAAGGGTAGTAATTCATGAGCGGTGGAAAATAATTTAGACTTTTCGCATTTTGCTCTTATAATAAGGGACCGTTTCTGTTAAGAGAAAGACGTTCTTTTGATTGGAGTAAACAAAGAGCTCTTGGAAACTTTCTGTAATCTTAAGGGTATCTTGAAGGTATTAAGAAAACGGGGAAGATCGAAAATACGAAAAGGTAAAAGTGCTTTGGAATTAGTTAAGCCTGTGCTGTGTTAAGCTACCAATACGAAACAACAACAACAACAACAACAACAACGACAATAAAAGGGTGCTGGGTAAACGGTGGTTGTTACTTTTATTTTTATGAAACAGGAGATCTATCTCTTTTGAAGAAAATACTAGCCTGGAAACAAAGTCCAATTTTTTGCATGCGCACAAGGGCCGTTAAATATCCAATTCCATGGGGAAAAAACACCCTGCGAGCAGAGGTGCTGCATACCTTTTACCATTTACCGAGTCGTTCGCGTCGCTTGTTAGTCGCGTAGTTCTGCTCGATGCTAGGATTCTCTGCATATTGCCCTCACGATGAGCCAGCCGTATAAAACTAAAGAGAATTACTGAGTAAATGATGCCCTGATTGACTTACATTCTGTGTTCCTAACAAAGCAGGTAAGTGTCTCACTGTTTGTCAGGCTGGTGGAATCAACAGATTAGCAGTGGAAAGGTCTTTGCGACAGACTCAGCAGGGACTGGCTAACTGCACGTAGAGAATAACTGACTTTTTTTCTCTGACTGGTTGTGAGTAGTCTCCTTTGCAGCCGTTATTAGGGTCGTCACGCAACGCTCCCCCCGACCCCCACTAGTGGGGAGGAGCGTTGCGTGACGACCCTAATAACGGCTGCGAAGGAGACTAGGTGGTGGGATGATCAAGCCGATGTGCAGCTCCCATGCCGACCTACCCATTCAAGGTAGTAATGAACGGACGGACCAGGGACCCGTTTCTCGAAAGGTCCGATAACATTTCTAGTCCGAAGGCAAATTTTGGAATCAAAACTCTCTTGGATTCTTACTCATATTATACCGTGTCCTTAAAAGTCCAATTTGTCCCTCTCTCTTTCACGTTCTAGTAAATCTTGCATGTCTTCATCCAAATGCGCTGTCAGTTCCTCCATTAAAACATCCAAAGCCTACAAAGCATATAAATGGTTATCAAGCATTGATTTCTGTGAAGAATATTTCACGACTACTTCCCGAAAACACTACAGTTTTTTGGGTTCATCAATACCCTCTTGGAGGGACTCACCAGGGTCCAGAAACATTTTTAGAGAAATGAGGAAAAGATCCTTTATCTTTGTCAAGTTTCAACAGGCCACTATGAAAGGTACTTCAATATTTTTTTAAGGTCCGTTTTCGTTAGAATTCCATGAAAACCTTACTTTTTTTCTTTACACGAACTGCACGTGCTATGTATAAGCAGGGACAAACCAACGACAAAATTAACCCACATTGAGCGTCGACATCGAGAGGTGAACCCGGGCCGCATCGGTGAGAGGCAAGGGCTCTCCCTCTTGCACCATTTATGCTCCCCAATAACATATGCTGCTTCCGTTTTCGCTCCTGTTCCGACTCGGTAGTGAAAACCATACTAAGTGATTCTAGCGACACACTTACCGAAATGCGGTCGTTTGCCCGAAAGTCGATTCGCCCAGCGGCGTTCGCCAGGACATTGGTCGATTCGCCCGATGACATACAACACTCTGCAACATGGTGAAAATGCCTTTAGAGGTGTTATTTTAGTTACCCTTGGATTCCACATGTGCAGTCACTGTCTTTCCATGCATATTCCTTTTCCTATACACTTCGGGCGAATCGACTTGGTCTGGGCGAGCTGCTATCGAGCGAACCGACCTTCGGGCGAAACGACCTGATACACACTTACCACACTCACTCACCACCGTGCCTCACAATAATTATAAGATCACACTCAGTTCAAAAGCTTAAAGGAGCTACCGGTATGCCACGCCATTTGCTGTCTTTATAAAAAAAAGTTAAAGCGTGTCTTCATATCAACTGAAAAGACCTATTCACGGTTTTTTTTTTTTCAACTTTTGACATGGACAAGTTCGGGAAAATCCGTCCACACCAAAGAAAAAGGCGCCTTAAAATTAGTAAAATAGCCAACTTTGAAAGTGATTTGTTGAAAGCTAATAAAGATACAGCTTCGCAAAAGTCGCGAAATTTTACAGACGTTTGCAATATACAGGTTATATCAGTTACCTTTTTGACCTGTTTACTTCGATCGACATCAACCACATTACGCCACGCCTCGATAATAACTTGTTTTAGCTGAGGTTCCATCACCTCGTCAATAATGCTGTTAATAAGTGAATCATCTTGAGATTGCTGTATCGCTTCACAAACCTACAGCACAAGTTTTGGTGTAAATTAATCTGGCCAAAGCAAGAAGTAGTCTGCCAAACTAAGAAGACAAAATAACAAAATGAAAATCAGTGAACAAGGCTCTGCACTTATAGGGCCGTTTAAACGACGAAAAATAAGACGGGTCTTATATAGGACGCGTCCTAAATAAGACTCAAACTATCCCGTATAAACGGCACATTTCGTTTGAAATTTAGCTAAGACACGTCTTATCTAAGAACAGCCCCTAACACCTGTCCTTCGATAAGACGGGTCTTTGCTCAGTCGCGTCTTAATGTGCCGTTTATAAGCAATAGTTTGCGTCTTATTTAGGACGCGTCTTATTTTTCCTGGTATAAATAGCCAGCTAATGGCCCTAATATGAATGGAGCCTAGTGCTGTGAGCATCTGAAATCTAGGGTGCCAAGGATACAATCTCTGTAAGAAAAAAAAATTAAGATTTTCTGGTCGCCTAGAAGCAAACGTTAGGCGCCAGGAGCCATCTGGCTTTGCTAGAGCACAGCCTTCGTGAATTTGAAAACTACAAATAGTATTATTTCGTTAGTTTTTGATTTACAAAACGTCTGAAGGTGTGTCAAGGGTTTGAATTTTCTCTCTTTTTCTGGTAAGTTCAATTTATCGACATCTCAAGCGAATTGACAGTTATTACAGCTGAATTCGTTTTAATCAGAAACGGCGAAATATTTTGATTGAATAATAAAATGATTTATCCGGTGGATAGCACTATCCAGTGCTAAAGAGGAGATCTAAAGGGGGGCTTTTTGCTTTTAAACTGGGTTGCGCACTTTATTTCAGAGAACATCCATCGAACGGTGCACAAGATACAATTGTGAATAAAGCCTAAGTTATTTAGTGTTACGCTGTCAAGACTTTTCCCTACAATAATTTGTAGCTAGTGTTTTTAGTTTAGAGGGTATTACATTTTTCCCGCTAACTACTAATTAGGCGTTTGCTTCCAAACGCCAAAAATAAAAGAGTGATGGGTAAACGTTTTGTTGACTGTTTTTTAGTGAGAAGAAAAAAAGAGACCTACTCTCATGGAAGAAAATGAAAACGCAAAACGTTTATCATTTTCAGGAACACTGAAGCGTCCGGAACCAACCAGTCAGTCTTGTTTCAGTTTCGCTTCATGGCCCATGGTAATTACCGATGATTTAGAGCATTCAAGTAAATCCTTATTTTCATATGATCAATACGAAATGTCAAAGTCTATTTTTGCGATCGCAGCGATTACACTGAATCAACGCTTCAACAAGTTTTCAACGCAATGATTAAATATAGTTCAGTTCCACTTTAAGGCAGTTTCCGTATATCGTTACTTTTTTAGATCACTGGACTGCTCACCTTTGTTCAGTTTGTTGTAATGCGACAAGAGGCCCTGATCGTAACGATCACGGAATTATGGCTTACGTAGCTTCCTTCTAGTGATAAGCCTGAAGGGAGGAAACATTTTGGGCGGCCCTCGCTTCCACCCCCCCCCCCCCCCCCCCCCCCCCCCCCCC